AAAAAACTTGAGTTTTAAAGTTCGTAAAAGATTGAAATTTGGCAAGATATCTAGGAAAGACCTATTGTGTACGAAAATGTAAACAAATGGACATCAAGAATTTGATCGTAGGGGCAATTTAAATGTTAGAAAAGTTGCACAAGGAATTGTCATTCTTTCGTTTTGTTTCTTTCACGGTCGCCGTATTAAGAGTTATTAATTATAATGCCTGAATATCAACAGAATTGGCTCCACCAGTCGATATTTAGTCGCCGCACAATGAAAGGTGTATATTTAACCGTCACACATTGAACTTGCTCTAATGCTTTTAACACCCAGAGATAACACCTCAGAAGATAAGAGAATATTTAGGGTCAGAGTAATGGATTTAATTAAGTTATTATCGGACTCGGTTGCTATCAATGAGCCTGAGCCATCAGGTGTTATTTAGGTATTGTTGCTATATCGAAAACAAATCTTAATTACGAACAACAAAATCGTTTCAATTTGGCAAGATATCCAGGAAATACCTACTGTGTACGAAAACGTAAAATAATAGATATCGAGATTTTAATCATAGGGTAGTTTTGTAATCCAGGTGAAATAGCCTCAAAGCATATCCGCCTGGATTTAAATCCAAGTTTCACACATCCTTTTGACTCCGTCTAATGGACCGAAATGCCCGGAGGCCACATTTTTCGTCCAGTCCACAAAATTGATTTGGCTTTATAGTAATTTCTTCAATTTGTAGTTCCTTTCCACGCTTCCATTTAGAGAGCAAATGAAGGAAACGAATTTGGGTGATGTAAATCTTGACAAGGAGCTGCAAATTCAAAAACTTGGACAAGATTATATGCAATGTTTTCAGATTGGAAATAAAATAAAAAAGAATTACGGCAATTTTATCCTTATTTCGAAGAACCTTTTTGAAACAGTATTTTAAATACAGTAAGTGATATAAAAATATCTGTTTCACCGTTTTCCCTCTTTCCGTTGTAGCCTGAAAGGGTGTCTACTGCCCTAGTCGGAATACTCACGCTCGGGCTGCCATTCTGTGAGTGGGTTTCTTCTGCGCCTCTTTGTCTCTCCTAAAGCATGTGCTTTTATCCGTGGTATTTTATCGCGTCTTACCACTCAAATGCTGGCAGTTGTTGTATATTTTAATCAATCCTCTTCCCTTACAATTGCCTCGCCCTTCATCTTAAGTTTTCAGTGGATAGGATTTTATAGTTTTAAGTTTCAGGTTTTGCTCTTGAGTATTGGCCATTGTTTCGGGTCTTTAACATTCAAGGTGCTGAAATACTTACCGCTTTTAACTGTTAACTTGTTACTTCTTTCTTAAGAAAATAACTCGGCAAGGGTCGAAAATTCGATTTCGCTCATATTTTTATGGTAGATAGGTTGGGGCATGACAAAAACTACTGGATAGTTTTTTTGGCAAAATATCCTTTTATTTTAAAGAAATATGCAAATTATCAAATTCCGTTAAAATCGTCATTTGACGCACCATTTTATTAAACAAGTTTGAGAGCCTCGCATGCAAAACCACATTATTC